GTACAAAGTTAATAAAACATACGAAAATCTCGGTCAGAAATAAATTTTAATTAGTAGGTTTTGATTAGGGATTCTGACATATGTCTTTATTCTGTTATGTGCGATTAGATTTATTGTTAAGTAAGTCCTTTACGACCAACTAATTATATTAAAATGATTCTGAGGAAGAAAGAATATCAAGTTTAGAAAATTGCGATAGAATATTATGAAGTTTAGTTTCATTTTTAAATATTTTGAGAAACTAATTGTGGGATTTGATTACGGCAAATTAACGGCAAAATCATGTGTGTTCAGATTTTTTTATCCTTTCATTTACAACGGTAAATCCTGTTTTTTTAAAATAATCAAAAACGGCAAAATTGGAAATATCATAATAATAATTAGCGGCAAATTCTCCAATATTGGATTTTTGATTTAACAAAAGTTGTTTTTATAACTTGATACACCTTAATATGCATTTCAGGGGTCTTGTAAATTTTTTAATTTTTAAATTGAAAGTATTTTAAGATTTTTTATTCTCATAAGTTTAAAAATATAATAAGTTAAATTTTTTAACATGTTTTTATATATATATCCAGAACGATAAAAAAATTCTTCAGTGGAGTTTCCTTTAGTGGTTAAACCTCGAATTACTCAAAACAAACAAAATTTAAAAAATGTCAAGCTTTTGAATGCAACAAGAATTTTTGAAATGGGTTAATCGGTTTTCGAGTTATGGCGAATACAATAATTAAATAATAATTAATTAATTTTCAATACAATTTTAAAGTGCGCTCTCTATAGAAAAAAATACTATTTTTTAAGATAATAACTTAATATTTCTATTATCCTAAATATACATAAAAATATGTTTAAAGATTCAACTATTATATTTTTAAACTTTTGAGAATAAAAAAACTTTAAAAACCTTCAATTTATGGTTTTAAAAATTTATAAGACCCCTTCAGTCCCGATAGAAATATTTCGGCGCGATTTTTAAAACTTACCAATCACAATTTTATGAATAATTTTTGATTGGTTGATTTTAAAAATCGCGCTGAAATCTTTCTGCCGCTTGTTTGTTCGGCCACTTGTAATTTCGGACAAATGATAATTCTATCAATTAGAAATTCTGATGTTAAATGATTTTTCGGTTAAGTAAAAATTCTGTGGTATGAAAAATCGGTTATATGGAAATTATATCAATTAATAATTCGAACAATTGAAAATTCATCTGAAAGAAAATTCTATGCAATGAAATTTTACACAATAAAAATTCTTTAATATGCCTATTATGTTAAATGAAAATTTGAGCAAATAAAAATTCGGCTCAAAAATAATTATGACAAATGAAATTTCATAAAATGAAAATTCTAACTAATGATTTTTAGAATATATTCATGCGTCCCAATTATTAATATTACTGAGGGAAATATCTGAAAAGCCACACTACCGAAGTGTCAATCGCGAATCGATTTTGATATACTAAAACATCTCTGACCAAATAAAAAATAAGTATTAAATGTTTTTCGACTCTAAAAGAAAATCTTCGGCCGAAGTTGATTAGCGATTGACACTTTGGTATAGTGTTGTAATTATTTTATTATGAATAAATATTATAGATATTAATATAATACCATCTATCTGATATAAAATAAATAAAAATTTTAAATATAAATATGAAAAATTCATTATTGAAAAATTTAGTAATTTATTATTAGCATCAACATTGGTGCAATAAAGAAAACATTTATAATATGGAAATTAAGAAGGGTGGCGGGTCAACATAACCTCAAAAACTTTTCAAAATTAAAAAATTGTTTTTAACGGAAACAAAAATATAATAAATATTAATTTCAAACAATTTTAGAAGATCTAGATTTACTCCTTTCGAAAAAAATTATTTTTTTCCAAAATATTTTGTCAATAATTATTTTTTTAACATTTAGTTTTTTCTTTCTCTTAAATCAGACAAAAATTGCAATTTTTAACCAATTTTTATAAACAAAAGCTCATTTTACTAAGTGAAACATTCTCTGCAATTGTTACCTTTTTTATATTATAAATAGTAAAATTAAACGCGCGCAAGCGCGCCAAATTGAATATTTAATTATTTGTTATAAAGAAATTTAAGATTAATATTATTAATAATAATTTAATTTATTAGAATATTATTACATATTAAATGATAATAATGAAAGTTATATGTTTACAGGCCTGGGATTATACGACTTTTTCCGACTTTTTTTCAAAAATACGACTTTTATCGACTTATTTTAATAAAATGCGACATTTTTTTACATTTGAAAAAAAATGTAAATAAAATACATTTTTTTAGTATAAAATGTAGATCTTCTTCAGATCTTCTTCAATTCAATTATTTAACAAATTTTAAACTAAAATGATTCTTTACTAAATTAATTATTTTTAATAATTTTAATGAAATACATCACAAATTCAATTATATCAAAATTATTTTTAAATTAAAATTTTTATGAAATTTAACAATTGTTAATAAATTAATTATTATAAAAAATATCACAATAAAATTGAATTATTTTTTAAAAGTTTCAATTCAAATTAACTAAAATTCAATTATTACCCGAAATTTTAATTCAAAATCAATTAAAATTTAATAATTATTCAAAATTTTCAATTTAAAATTTAATTATTTACCAAGTTTTCAATTTAAAATGAAATAAAATTCAATTATTTTCTAAAATTTCTATTCAATATTAATTATCCAAATTTTCAATCAAAAATAAACTTAAATTAAATTATTATCCAAGATTTCAATTAAAATTCAATTATTTCCCAAAATTTTCAGTTCAAAATGAAGTGAAATTCAATTATTTTCCAAATTTAAAATCAAATAAAATTTCATTATTTTCAAAAATTTGAATTCAAAATTAATTGAATTTTCAATAATTTGAATTTAAAAGCATCTAAAATTTAATTATTTCTAAAATTTTTCATCGAAAATTTTTTTTAATAATTTCAATTATAACTCTAAGGAAATTCAATTATTTTTAACTATTTTAATAATATTCTTTGAAAATTCAACTAACTGAAACCATTTTTCAATTAAAAATTATTTTCAAATTATTGTATTTTGTCCGCATTTTCTAATAAATTTTTAGTGAAATCATCTAAGATTTTAATTACAAAACAAAGCAAAGTCCTATTAGGGCTTTTTCGTTCTGCTCGTATAGCAGTGGTCGGCGCAACTTTGAATTAAGCAAAACTTTTATATATAAAAATTTTTGTTAAAAAATTTTTTTTTTAATTTTAAAAAACATAATTTTCTATCGAAAACACTAATTTTAGCGAACAGTTTATTAAAACTTTCTCGTTGCGCTCGCATAGCACAAGTCAGCACAACTTTTAATTTTGAAAAATTCTCATTTTTCAAAATTTTTGTTAAAAAATTTTTTTTTTTAATTTTAAAAAATATAATTTTCTATTGAAAATATTAATTTTAGTGTTTTTTTTTCAATTAATATCAAAAATCTCAATTTTAGATCTTTGAAAATTTAATTAAATGTAAAAAATGTTTTCCAAAAATTGTTTGATAAATTATTTTTAGTTCTGTAAAATTTAATAATTGTTTGAAAATTAACAATATCTTTTGAAATTTAATTATTTCTAAAAATTTCAACTTTAACCCTTCGAAGAGGATTATTATTTAAAAAAAATTTTTATTTAAAAATCTGTAAAATATTTTTGTTAAAATAAAAAACAAATCCGCTTTTTTTGGAATATAAATCGACTGAAACGACTTTTTGTGTCTTTAAGTTGATTCGAGGCCTGTGTTTTTATAATTAATATTTAATAGGTATTCGTTGGCCCCTGGTACCTTACTATCTTAATTACTATCTTGTACGAAATTTCCTGGTGCATCTTTTTTCTCATCATAAATTTTTTGTATTTGTATACAATTTTTGAATCAATATACAACTTTAAAAAAAATTTCGTTGGTAAATGTTGTGTACTTCAGTTTCGTGAATTGAATTTTCGAATTTGGAATTTTTAAGAAACTTATTCCGAAATTTGGAAACACAATTATACAACTTTGGCAAAAATGAGAAAAAGAATTGTCAAAATTTGACACGTCATAAGATTACTATTCAAAAAAACACGTGAAATCAGAAAAGGCCAACTTCAAGTTAGGACAGAAGGACAGACCAAGCATTTTATTATTATATAATAATAAGTATGTTCTTAAAAAGTTATAAACAATTAAAATTTTATTTATTAAATAACTTTTTAAGAACATACTTATTACAATATAAAAAAGGTAACAATTGTAGAGAATGTTTCACTTAGTAAAATGAGCTTTTGTTTATAAAAATTGGTTAAAAATTGCAATTTTTGTCTGATTTAAGAGAAAGAAAAAACTAAATGTTAAAAAAATAATTATTGACAAAATATTTTAGAAGAAAATAATTTTTTTCGAAAGGAGTAAATCTAGATCTTCTAAAATTGTTTGAAATTAATATTTATTATATTTTTATTTGCGTTAAAAACAATTTTTTAGTTTTGATAGGTTTTTAAGGTTATGTTGACCCGTTACCCTCCTTAAATAATATTTATAAACAAATTAAACTTAAGTATTGAAAACATTTCTACGTGCAGGTAATAAATAATTAAAATTAAAATAATTATTAAAATTAACACAATTGTTTTGGTTCGATATATTAAACGTACAATATTTAATAATAGACACTTTTTTCAAAAATATTTAACCAAATTAACAAAGAGAACGTTAATTTTAATTAATTAAATCTATAAAACTTTCTTTCACACGTTGCACTTTTTTGTGTACGAACACATGTTTATAGGTTATGTTTTTTAAAACTGAATAAGAAATAGAATCTAAAGAACGATAAACAGCTAACATAATTGCATTATTGTGATTGAGATTGTTTAATGAATTTTGAGATTTCGATTGCAAAATGTATCAAGTTTAATAATTGTTTATATTATCACTTATAAGCATATAAAAACAAAATATGACATACACAAGTGGCAGTTTAAATACAGTGCATAATTTGTCTATATAAATTATTCTTTACAATTAAATAAAAATCAAGAACATATTAATACCTAGTACTGATGTAATTTAATTTAAAGGTTAATTTTTTGAAATATACTTCAAACTGACTGGAATTAATTCACAATTTTTTTTTTTTTTAGAAAATTACTTTATAAAAGTAAACAAACATTTGAAATGTGAAACTTCTGAAGAATATCATAAAGGGCCGTCCACAAATTATGTAGTAACTATAGTTCGAGTTGGGTGGGGGAAAATCTAATTTTTTAAATATCCCCCTCAAATGAAGTTTTCAAACCTAAGTATATTAGGATTAGGATTTTATTTTTAAAAAACTTTTTAATGCAATAAAAAAATTAATAAAAAAAAATAAATTCGTTTTTATTTTATTTATTATTTATTTATACATAGTTGATACCTTTCGGTTTCGAACGAAGTTCCGACTTACATCTTCATGTAATAAAATCGTTTTTTATTAATGTATTAAAAATGAGATTTTATGCCATCTTCCAATGTAAAGTTGTACACCAAATAATCGACATCTTGGATTTTCCTCCACCCAACTTGAATTACATAATGCCCATATGCCAAAAAGTGAAGGAAAATAGAAATTAAAATGTGGTAATGTTACAAATTTTAATACAACTACAAATTATTCATGAATAATTTCTATAAAGATTTTTTAAAATGACTTTTAATTTTTTAAAGCACCTCAACTTTTTCTTTACACTTTTGATTTAAAAAAAGCGCGTTCAATATGGACGATTCTTTTTTACCTGCGCGTAGAGAGACCTTGATTTAGTTGGATCATGCTGCGGTATTCATTTCTATGTCGATGTGTGTGGTCAATGGTGTGTCAGACGGGGAAGTGTTTGCATAAAAAGCAATTTAAACAAAAATGTGTGAACTGTATCTTAGAGTTCTTATTGTTTTTATTTTGTAATTGTTATCGTAGAAAAGAGGTAGAAAACATTTGCAAATCTTTAATCTTAACTATCTAACGTGAAATTCTCGTTTACTAGGAATTGAAAAACAAAAATATAGTCACTAAAATTTGTGATCTGTCGTCGTTTTATATATAACACTTTCCTTTGCGATAAATTATGAACACTTATTAATAATTCGAGTGTACTCGTTTTTTTTGCACAACTATTACTATAAAAGCATAATAAAGTAATTAGAAGTGTTGTTTTCGTTAAAACCTGTGTAAATTCATTTGTGTTACATTGAAACTTGACGATTGTTTTGACCCGGGAGTATTTCCTCATTAGAATGATCATCCTGGAACAACAGTTGCGCGCACGCACTATTGCCAGAAACGAAATGGAACAGAATCTACAACTTATGTGCGATTGCCGACAGCAATACTGAATATATTGCTGTTTCAATTCAAAATAAATAGATACATATATATTGTTGATGAGAAAAGAATACTTTGTGTGTGTTTCGTACTGATTTGTACGAAAGTTATTTATTGACTAAAAGACTGGAGTTTGAATTTTATTATATTATGATATGAAAAAAAAACAACTTTCTACAGTGTACTAATCGGATTTACTCCTTGTGTTCTTTTTAAAAAACCAAATTGTAATTTGGTTGTCTAATTTTTTCAACACATTATAGAAGGAGTGTCTACTCTCTTTGTGGAACTTGGAACATTTTTTCAAGATATGTTTTGAATAAAAGCCAAACAATTGGAATCTGATACTTTTCTTTTTGGGGGGTTTATTTACTTTTATGCAACCTGATGCACCTGTTGACGCAGAATTCTTCAAAATCAACATCTATCATCGGCGACAATTTTCTCCTTCTTTTTATTAAAGATATACTTCTGATTTAACTAACAATTGTTTGCCCGCCATAGGACGGGTTATGTTTCCCACTTTCATTGGCATTTTAGGTGAGTTGTAATTTATATTTTTTCTATAAATAAATGTTAAATTTTACAAATATTTAATTTATTAAAAAATTCCAATATTTCAAATTTAAATAAGTTTCAATCAAATTGTACTGTAAATATATTTAAGAATAGACTGAAAAAAAATTATTTTTGTTCACTAATTCAAATTACTTGAAAAATATTTACATGGATCAAATATTTTTCGCAGTAGTATACAAATTTAAACTCTATATCGTTAAAATCTTGCACTTTAAATTGCACTGTTGCACACCGTTAAAGGTTAGTGATTTATTTAATTAATAGAATAATTAATTTTATTAAATTCTACACATTTAATAAACGCTGGCTCTATACCTACGCTAACGTAAACTGATTTCCAAAACTATAGTTACGCGAAGTGTAAATACACTTCATCATTACACTAGCGTAGTAAAAAATGTGTGAAAAGTGAACGCAAAATAGTAAACACGGCCTTCGGCCGCGTAAGGTATGCTCGCTTTTCTTTTTAAAAAAACCTTGGCGAGAGGGGGTGGATATGGCCGAAAGTATTTTGCGAAATTCGTTGGATCCTGAATAATGGTGAATTATTTTTTTTTACGATAAGTGAAAAGTGAAACTTACCCCACGGGTGTCACTTTTCGAAACTTTTTTCACTTCGCGTAGGTTTAGTTTTGAAATATCAGCTTACGTTAGCGTAGAAATAGGCACTTCGTTTAATAAAAAAGTATCAATATTGACATAGATTTCTTTTTTTTTTACTTTCCCATTGATCGAATTAATTTTTTTTATTAAAAAACTATTGAAAGGAAATTTTAATTTTTTCATCTACAAATTTAAGTTGCACACCACCAAACTCTACACTCGTTTATTTTTTATTGAGAAAATTATTATTAAAAACAAATTTCACTTGACATAATTCTTATTTCACATAAAATTCATATGGCATAATGTTCATTTGATATCAAATTCATTTGACATAAAACTCACTTAACATAATTTTCAATTAGTATAATTACACCGGTTTACAGTGAAATTGACAATCAAACAAAACATTTTTTTTCGATAAATAGGTGTTTTTTGAGGAAGAAAAACATATTTTGGATTTTTTTGAGGCGCATGATTTTTGCCAAAAATTAAAAAGTTCGAAATTTTAATTGATCGAAATTCTAAAAGAACGACAGTTATGAAAGTCGATATTTTATTTGATCAAAATTTTAAATGATCGATATTTAAAGTGGTCGACATTTTATTTAGTCGAAATTCTAAATGATCAACATTTAAAGTGGTCGAAATTTTATTAGTTCGATATTTTGTTTGGTCCAAATTTTAAATTATCCACATTTAAAGTGGTCGATATTTTATTTGTTCGATATTCTAAATGATAGAAATTTAAAAGCATCGAATTTTATATCCATCGACATTTTTTTAGCTATACGAGTTTTCTCTCTATGTTGTTATTATTATTTACATCAATAATTTCAAATTTCCCGCAAAATTTCAATGTACTTAACCGACAAACTACATAGAAAGAAAACTCGTATTACTTTTAAAATATCGACCAAATTAAATTTCGATGGATATAAAATTCGATGCTTCTAAATTTCTATCATTTAGAATATCGAACAAATAAAATATCGACCACTTTAAATATGGATAATTTAAAATTTCGACCAAACAAAATATCTAACTAATAAAATTTCGAACACTTTAAATGTCGATCATTTAGAATTTCGACCAAGTAAAATATCGTCTAAATAAAATGTCGATCACTTTAAATATCGACCATTCAGATTTTCGATCAAATAAAATATCGACTAAATAAAATGTCGACCTTCATAAATGTCGGTTATTTAGAATTTCGACCGATTAAAAAATCGACTGAATAAAATGTCGACCTTCATAAATGTATATCATTTAGAATTTCGATAAAATAAAACATTGACTAAATAAAATATCGGCCACTTTAAATTTCGATCATTTAGAATTTCGAATAAATAAAATATCGATCATTTAGAATTTCGTTCAAATCAAATATCGACTTAATGTAATTCGATCAATTAAATTTTCGACCTTTTTAATTTTTAGGAAAAATCATGCGCCTCATTTTTTTCCTTCGTGCAATTTTGCTGAATCTAGAAAAACAAATTTTCAAGGTATGACGTCACTTAAGGGGAATCACCACTTTTATTTTGAGTCCTTTAAATTTTAATGATCGCAGGAAGTTATAATTTTTTTCTTAGTTTCGGTCCTAAAAGCATATAAGGTGGTCAAAAAAGAAAATTTTATTTTTACATATTAGAGTTTTTATTTTTTTAAAAAATTAATATTTTTTAAAATCCATGCGTGTGATTCTGAAGAACCATTGAAAAAGTGTGGAAAAGATCTGACAATTAAAAATACTTAATGATAGAACGTCCAACAGCCTTCCGGCAGGATAAAAAAGACTCACGTGAGTCCCTCCGAAATCGCTTTATAAAATTAACATGGATTCAGATAATCCAAAAGTAAAATATATCGTTGGAAAGGTAAAAACACAAGCTTTTAGCGCATGTAAACATAAAGTTTGTAAATTAAAATCTCTAGGCTAGGGAATTCAAAGAAAAAGGACGTTTTTATAGGGTTTTTTTGACGAATCCAAAAAAATATTTAAACTGAATTTTTTTAAAGGTGCTTATATACCTCAAATTTCGATCAGATGAACATTATTTCTGGACCGTGAAAATGCGTGAAAAGTCATTTTCACGGCGGGTATTTTTGAATTGTTTTATACAAAAAATGTTTTTTTAAGAAATATAATATTAAATGATTGTTTTAATATGTAAGAACACTTTAAAATAGTGATAAAGAGATGATTTGATTAAAAAATTTAGCAAATTTTGCTTTAAAACGTTTTCTGCTACAAGAAAGTGTAAAATGACGATGTTTGTGAAATGGTTTGTACAGTGCTTCTTCCTTGTCAGTGTCTCTCAGAGTTTTGTTTATGTTATGTCGGTTCTTTTTAACTTGTAATAAATAATGAGTGCTGAAAATAAATCGGTAAGTTGAAATGTTTGTCAAATAAATTTAAATTCAACTAATTGTTTCGAATAACTGAAAGAAACATGTACACATGTACACTGTACAAACCATTTCACAAACATCGTCATTTTACACTTTCTTGTAGCAGAAACGTTTTAAAGCAAAATTTGCTAAATTTTTCAATTAAATCATCTTTTTATCACTATTTTAAAGTGTTCTTACATATTAAAACAATTATTTAATATTATATTTCTTAAAAAAAACATTTTTTGTTTAAAACAATTCAAAAATACCCGCCGTGAAAATGACTTTTCACGCATTTTCACGGTCCAGAAATAATGTTCATCTGATCGAAATTTGAGGTATATAAGCACCTTTAAAATAAACTATCACATTTTATTCTTTGAAGGCTTCAGAAGAAAATGAGAGTAGTTAGCATAGAGATATAAGAATAGAGTACGCAAGCGAGCAAAAGGAGCGATAGTCGTTTTAGAGAGAGACAGCTGTTTTATCGGCCTACTGTCTTTCCTTCTCTGGTAACACATGCTCGGTTGCGAAACAGCTGAAAGCGTGTAGGAATGTTTTATACTCTGCAAAAACATTGTTTATTATTTAATAAAGAAACAGGATTATTTAGTTTATTATTTAGTTTTTATTAATTTAATCATGGTAATGAGCTTTTTGAATTTAAAAGACTCGGATAATCGCGCATGCGTCATTAGAAAAGGTAAGAGAGTAGGCCGACATTGCCGCTGTCTCCGTCTAAAACAACTGTCGCCGTCTCTTATGGGAAACTAACCAACTCGCGCACTCTATTCTTATATCTCTATGGTAGTTAGACCGAAAAATATTGGTTTTTGTAGATTTTACAGTGAATTTCCGAAAAACTGTTTTTTTGGCTTGTTGCAAACATGCAAAGTTTGAAGGCTTCGAAACATGGTTTAATATTATTTTTTTTTAAAGTCTAACGCATGAATTTTTTCGTTTTTACGTCTACTTTAATAAAAAAAGGGTGACAGAAAAAAATTTTGAGTTCCCTTTTTACCACCCTCATATATATAGGGCCATCCAAAAAAGCCTTCCGACAGGACGGGCGCTTGGACGTTCTATCATTAAAACTGTGAAAGAAGATACATATTTACTAGGAGAGTGCAATGATGTTTTAACTCATATTTTTCTTTCTTTTTTTGAAAAAATTAAAATTTTTGAAAATCCGTGCGAGAGATTCTGAAGAATCATTAAAAAAAAGTGTGGAAAATAATTGTCGATGAAAAATAGTCATAATTATAAAAGAAAATAGATATTTAAAATATTAATTTTTTTAAGACATTAATTTCTAAAATGGTCAAAATTTAAAATTTCATTTTTTTGACCACCCTGTATGTTTTTAGGGCCAAAATGATGCAAGAAAAATAAAGTAACTTCCTGCGATCATTAAAATTTAAACGACTCAAAATAAAGGTGGTTACTTCCTCCCGTTAAATACACCCGTAAGAAAATCAGCTAGTCCAAATATAATAAATAATACACCATTAGAAAGGTAATTAAATTACCAATTTCATAATTTGTAATTTCTCTAATAAACGGTTTTTGGAGTGGCTAATTACAAATCCAGGGTCAGTTTTTGAAATCCAAAATGGCGATAAAATCACAAAAATGAATACTTGAGAATTATTAGGGTTGCTGATTACGATTCAAGATCAGTTTTTGAACATTTAAAGTGTCGGACAAAATTTTATAAATCTGATGTAAATTCACGAAAATGACTACTCGGGTTTTTTAAGGTTGCTGATTACGAATCCAAGATGAGTTTTTAAAAATTCAAAATGGGGGATTCAATATGTCGGACAAAATTTTATAAATTTGAGGTAAATTTTTTTGATTCGCATGATTAAACCCCAAATTTCATTTGACATAAATCTTATTTAACATAAAATAATTTAACGTAAAATTAATTTGATATAAAATTCACTTGACATAAA